TATAAATGTAACATGTAAAATATATGCGTAAATAAACTTTTCATCTAAAAAATTATGATAAATCTTAATTATTAAAAATAAAAAATAAATACTCAAAATTTTATATAAATGTAACATGTAAAATATATGCGTAAATAAACCTCTCATCTTGTATTTATGTATAGATATAAATAATTAATCCTCATATTATGAAAATAGCAATGTGCTAATGTGTGTTGGTTCCTTCATGGTCATGATCTTACCAAAATGCGAACATAAAAAGAATCATACCAAAATGAAAAATGGAAAAAGAAATGTAAATGCCACCTTTTTTTGTAAGGTGTGAAGATATTTTATTTTTTCTATTGGAACTCTTTTTTTCTTCCAATATACACTTTCTTTTTCTTTCCAATTTGGGGAAGAAGTGTTCATTTTGAATGGGCAATAAAATCAAAACAAACTTGACATGCGCACTACTCGAAGTTATAAGTCGCAATGCAAATTTAAAGTTGTTTTTTCCCTTTTTTAAAGGAGCAATCTAGGTATACTAACCATCGTATTTATTTTGTCATGGCAGAAAAAAAAAAAAAAACCCCCGCATATCATGTACTTTTGTGAATAACATTTGTGCCATAAAAGTTAATAGTCATGTTCTAACAATCTATTTATTCCTTAATCAAAGAGAAAAAGAAAAAGAAATATAAATCCAATCTTCTTTCAGGGCAAAGTAAAGATATATTATACTTGTCTACTGTGAACAGATGAGTGTCTTTTATTTGTTTCTTATTTACTTATCTTACTTTCAGTGTTTTGGTGCTTCTCTCCCCCTTACTTTTTCCTTTTTCCAATTTTATAAGGAAAAGGGAGTTTCAACTTTGAATGTGGGAGCTATTGTTTCCAATCATTTTATTTTATTTTGAGTTATCTATTCACATGTGACATATTTATTATTTGAATCTAAATTTTCTTATTTTTACTTTTAAAAATAATTATTAGATTATTTCAGCTGTTAACATTGTTGCCTCTCTATTTTTTGTAATATTAATTCTATCTTTGTACTCAAATTGTCATTCTCATCCCTAATCTTCTTTCTTGTCAATTGTATCCCAAATATATTTGTGTCAAATGTCTTAGAAATTTTTGAAAATTATTTTTTTAATGAAAGAACCAGCATATATATTTTAATGTCAGATTTTGTTCATATATGCAATTAACCCCTCTTAAGACTTAAGCTTCTTTTTTTTTTTTTTTTGTGTGGGTTTGAGCTGGCCTCTACTTAGTGCGATTGATTTACATCAATTCACAATAAAATAAATAAAGGTATAGATCAACCAATATTCGGGCCAGAGGTTTTGGCTGAAACTGAAAATAGTACTATTTTTCTTTGTATCAACTCTTCCACCTTTCTAGAAAATTTTTTTTTTTTTTAAATGTCTTCCACCGTTCGTCTCCATCTTCTCCACTACCATTTTATTTTATTTATTTTTTATGAGTCCGTTACCATTTTATTATTATCAAGAACGTTAAAAGGGAGTACCAATTTGAAGGTGGGGGAGTGAGTAGGTAGACGGTAGACCTTTTTATTTTTAAATAGCCCTTTTGTTATTATTACGATAAAAATTGTGGGAAATTATTGTCTCCATAAACATGCCTAGTCTTTTTCTTTGTAAAATGGAAAAATGATATGACCCCACAAAGATATATGATACATAGTATTTCCTTAAGAAGGGCCGATCAAACACACGGCTATTGTAATCCTATAATTTTTTTTTTTTTTATGACAGATCTAATTTTATTAATTAAAGTATAAGGGATATTTAAGCTCTTCACATACTGAAAATAAATAACATCTTAACAACAATACATATAGAATACCTAATCTTTCTTGAATTTCCTATCAAATTCCCAAAACTTAAATTACAAAGAATAATATTTTCAAAAGCTCAATTCAATAGTTGAAGGCCACCCTTGGGTTGTTATACCATAGTTTCTCTATCAAATAGAACCTTGACCTCACTTTAATCCACGAAATAGATCTAAATTTGATAAGGTTAAGCACATCATCGTTAGATTTACCCTTGTTGTTGAAGATTTTGTCTTAGCCATGATGACCAGACTGTAGCAAACCAAATAACTGTTCAAACATCTCTTTGCACTCCTATTGGGACTAAACCAATGTGTTGTAGGAGGTTTCCACTACAAGTTCCATGAGTAGCAACCTCAACACCCCACTAGGCATAACATGATAACCAGACTTTCCAAGACTCTTCACATAATATCATCAAGTGATCAACATTTTCTTGATATTGTCCATAGAAAGTGCACATAGAATCTTGTCCTAACTGCAATAGGCCTCTCCTAGCTAAATTTGCTTTCGTTGGCAATCAATCGGTCTTATAATGCTTTCCATGCAAATGTTGTTACTTTAAGCGGCACTTGATTGTTCCACACAATTTTGAAATCGATAGCCATCCATTGCTAGAGTGTTGCATTTAGGCACTTATAAGCTGACTTCATGGTGTACATGCTTCTCTTGTAGTGCTTCCAAGTCCATGTGTCTTGTTTGTCTTGTTTGAGTTAATTCCTTTAAGTTCTGCAATCAAGTCCTGCAAAAGAAGATTTTTGCACACAAACAAATTCCTCCTCCATCTCCACTACCATTCCCACCTACCCTCCTTCCATATTCCCATTTTCGCAATCATAGTATTTTTATTATGTGTTAACATGAACAGCCTACTATATCTCTCTTTTAAAGTTCTACTACCTAACCAATTCTCATGCCAAAAAGAAATGTCTTTCCCATCCCTCACACTGCTTTTATGATCCCCTCATTCAGCTACCCCCTCCTAGTTTGGACAAGATCATCTAATCCCTGTAAGTCCTTCCATCATATAGAACTACCTACCTTATGCTCACACCCATCCCAACCTTTTTGCCCACTACCTCTGTATAATTACGTTACGACCTTTCTGCATAGGGTTTCTTTTTCCATAAAAAATCTCCATTAGCATTGAACTTCTCTAAATTCTTTACTCCTCGTCCATCCCAAAGGAGAAGTTTTGTGGAGGGCCGTTTAGCTTTGGCCGCCTGTGTCAATTGGATTTTTCTAGTCAATTTCTTGGGTTTTTTTTTTTAGGGGGGGGAGGGGGGTTTAAAGGAGTCGACTGCTAAAATTTTAATTTGTTTTTTTGGCATAAATAAAACATAAACACAAACAAAAAAAAGGATTACCTCCACTTGGTGTTTTAGAAATAAAAAATGAAATAAGAAAAGAGTACAAAAGCTAGTACATGCATCGTCCCAAAGTTAAAGGATACAAGAAATAAGAAAATTGGAAAGATTAATTTTTTTCAATCGATTAAATTAAAACCGTTAGGCAAACGTTCGTCTTAAATGGAATGAAATTTTCTGGCCTATATGAAACAAACTATAAATGTTTATCTATTTTTATCAATGAAAAATATCTCATTTGGGCCCCTTGATTCCTCGTTTCCTAGTTGCCAATTAGGTGTGTGGCTCAAAAAAGAGTTAGACTTGACAAATAATTGTAAGCTATTAGCATATTAACAACTTATTTGGTTGGATGCATTGGTATACCTTGCAAAAAAAATGAAGTTTCAACTATGAAAAGAAACAAAGAAAAATATCTAAATGGTCTTGCTGATTTCATATAGTTCAATCATCTAAACATAAGTTAAATCATTGGAATTGTCACTATATTTTCTTTGGCAATGTGTGGTTGGTAGGGATTATCCATGTCAACCAATGACAAGACACAGAGGGACGCTAACATGACATGTTGAACCACTCTCAAGAGAGCATTAGATTTGAGAGTCAATTTCATCAAAGCTTAAATTACTATGCAATTTGTAATTAAGTTTAGCTTTGAAGAAAAACGAAATATGATAAACAAAGGGAGAAAACTTTGGTTAAACCAAAATGATGGAAGCAGCGGCACCTTTACGCCTATACCAAATTCTTTAATCTTGAATATTCCAAGGATGGTCAATGGATCCTTTATAAAGATTTCATGTTAAATTTATATTTGGTTGGAAGAATGATTATATTTAATTGGTTTATTGAAGATAAATACAACTTTTATGTATCATGAAGCCGTGGTTATGTGTTTGTTATAGATGCTTATGCGTACTCCAATTAAGAATAAGAATTAAATCCTGAATCTGACTTACAAAATGAATATCATGAATTCATCTTTCACATCGAGCAATGGAATTTGATTTAGTTCAAGGGAGTCTCTTGCTTTGCATGGAATTTGATTTAGTTCAAGGGAGTCCCCTGCTTTGCATGAAAGGACAAG